GCAGAGCTGCTTCCAATACAGGTGACAGAGAGAACGAGAGAGAGACAGCGAAGAGGGGCTGGGAAATAAGATATGAGGGAAGCAGGAAAGGAAGGTGGGAGGGTGAAGCTATCACCTATAAGTACAAGAGAGAGGCTGAGTGAGCGAGCGAGCGAGAGAGAGAGAGAGAGAGAGAGAGAGAGAGAGAGAGAGAGAGCGAGAGAGAGAGATGAGAGCTGGCTGGTGAATATTGGCTAGTATTGCCGGGAGAGGAGGGGCCTGCTGTAAAGCTGTAATGGGCTCCAGCTTGTGCAGTGGTGCCGATCCCCACGTTTCCTCCAACCCAGCAGCTTTTCCTCTCTCTGCATACACACATGTACATGCGCTGGGCTGGCGCCACTCCAGCAGAGCCTTGAGATATTCTCGAACGGATTTTTCAGATTTACCATCCCACCATCAGACTGAATGACATTGCTTTTCTCTTTGGAAACGCATAGCTCCACTTCATTCATCTTCAAACGCTCAAGCAAGCTGGATTACATGCCAAATCTCCAGACGCGAGGAGCAGAAACATAAGGGAACATCATTAGCAGTGGACTAATACGCACTTGAAAGATTTCTTTTATATCCCGAGGCTCTGTTGAATCTGGATTTCTCTCGGAAGCTGGGCAGATGTAGGGCAGCGTTCAATTCATTCCCTGCTGATGATCAGATACTTCCCCTTCACCCCTTTCAATCATCCTTCCGTCATGCGATGGAGAGAACAGTCCTTGTAGACTGACATACTGTTCGGAGAAAGAGCTGAGCTCACCTCAGTAGTGCGAGAGAGACATGATCTGACAGGTGCACTCTCTCATTCATTTTCTGCCATGAACACGCATCTGGAATTCCGGGAAGAAAGGAAGAGGGCTGGTTTGATGTGATCTGTGAACGACAGGCTCTTATCTGCGAAGTGAGTGCAAATGAGAGGTGGGATTACAGCCTCACTTTATAGAGGACAAGGAAAAGATGATGACACAGTCATAGAGCGCTTATGTAGATAAATACATGCAGGTGTCAAATACAACATGCTGTGGAGAGGGAATATGAAATTAGGTATGGCACCAGCATCCATAGACTTGCAGTTATAATAACGTCTAATGAACATCTAAACAAAGTCTAGAATCGCAGCAGGCACTAGTTACAGACTCAAGCAACATGTTTTAAAGCACTTCAAATAGCATGACGTGCATGTCTGCGCCCAGAGAGCGTTGTTATATGTAAATGAAGGAAACAAGCTCTCTAATAATAGAATCAGAGTGTGAAGGAAAGCATCTCAGGGGAATACGGAGTGGCGGAAAGTAAACATTTGTTTATTGCATCTTTTATTTAATAATTCATGTCTTAGTCTACGACTTTGGCGGAGGCACCAGGGAGTTCACGTTAGGCAGATCATCTCTTTGATGATATTGTTCAGACACGGTGGGATCTGTAAATTTAATCCTGTCACAACGTGCTGCTGGCTGCTTGTTTCAAGTATTGTTTCAACATTATCTGTCTAATAATATATCTGATTATATATCTGATCATCATATGTGAAGTTTTAAAGCCAAAAGCATTAAACTAACCTCCCTGAGTGTGTAGGAAATTCAAAGCTGACTAAAAGCACACAGACATCAGAGCCTCCATTCATCAGCGATCAGACCTTGACTTTCTCACGGCTGGATGCTGCAGCGTCTCTGATCCCGTTTCCCGGGATGGACCTCAATTAAAACAGCAGCTGGGCCTGAATGAGGGAAGCAGACAAAGAAAAGAACATCAAAGCCCTTTCATGGAGTGCAGAGTCTTAACTTCTGATCTCAGGGAGGGATTACTGTAATTGGACGGCAGGGATAGACACCTACGTCGGAGAATCAGGAAGCGAAGAGCATCGAGGAACGCTCCCCCTCCGGAAACCACGAGCCACGATGGGCTGCAACATGTGTGTGGTGAACAGGCCGGAGGAACAGTACAGGATCATGTTTCAGGTGAGAATACCAACAAGTTCATATTCAATTTTCTCTTCATTTTTTAACTTTGCACTTGCAATCATGTGCTTATTGAGGATAATTCTAAGAGGTAAAAGTTTCACAAAGTTAATCAAATTAATAATGCAACATAAATATGGATATATCACTTATAATGTGACAATTGCAACCATTAAAAAGTTTAGGGTCCATTTTTTATAATTATTTGTATTCAGCAAGGATGCATTAAATTAAACAAAGGTGACAGTAAAGACATTTATAATGTTACATTTCTATTTCAAATAAACTGTTCTTTTGAACCTTCTGTTTATCAAAGAATCTATCACAATTTCTACAAAATAAACAAATAAATAAACAACAACAAAAAAAAACAATACAATACTGACAATAGTAAGAAATGTTTCTTGAGCACCAAATCAGAATATTAGAATGATTTCTGAAGGATCATGTGACACTGAAGACTGGAGTAATTGCTGCTGAAAATTAAGCTTTGCCATCACTAATCAATATTACAGTTTTCACTATATTTTTGACCTAATAAATACAGCCCTGTGAGCATAAGATACCTTTCAAAAACCATTTTGACCCCAACCCCAAACATTTGAACAATAGTGTATTAAATTGTAGCAGTTGTAGCATGTTATACTACATATCAAATGTAAAAGTAGCACTTAAACTACTGAGCATTCATTTTTTAAAACCATGGGCAGTAAATAGGGAGTCAGGAACAATAGTGTATTAAATTGTAGCATGTTATACTACATATCAAATGTAAAAGTAGCACTTAAACTACTGAGCATTCATTTTTTAAAACCATGGGCAGTAAATAGGGAGTCAGTCCTCCCTTTGCTGTAATAGCTTCAACTCTTCTTGAAAAGGTTTCCACGATGCTGAAACATGGATACAGGAATTTCAAATATCAAAAGGAAATTCTTTTGGATGGCTAATTTAAGATTGGGCCCAAATATAGATAATCTTGTGTAAGATGATCATTTCTTGATCCGTAACAGTGAAGTGTTCCTCAAATAACTATACTTAATGTTGGGGTTCAAGGTCCTTTACTCCTGAATGAGGCTCCTTTTCTTTGTGGTTAAAACTGAACAAAAAAGTTCTGCTTTGCACCACTAGTAATAAAAACCCCTCACATTCTGCTGTCTCATTCGCATGCAACCAGGGTTTATGCATGCTAACCTTACGGGGATTGTAGATCTGCCAGCAAACTGGAAACTGTTTATCGTAACAGTAACAGAACAGGTTTAAGATGTGTCAAGGGGCCTTTGAGTTAAGGTGGTGCTTTAGGCAAACAATTTAATGAATTAATCCTGTGTTGAAAACCACAATCCCCTAAACAGCACAAATACTTCCTACTCAGCATCCTTTAATTGACATGGCGGTGAGATTTTCGAATAGGCTGAGAGAGAAAAAGCTTTTTAAACCTCTTCCACTGGTAAGGTGTTAAAGTTTGGTTTCCATTCTGTAATTTTTCCAACCACAGGACAGGTCAGGTGACTATGACTGATAGATAGGGAATATTTATACTGCTGGAAAGTGGAGCAGGATGAGACAAGGGCTGATCTGCTAATAATAAAACCTATCAGGTGTGTAAAATATCTGTGGCTGTGGCACTGAGTGCAGAGATGGGAAAGGAATGCTAAAATCAAGGTTTATTGAATTCAGAAGCATAGTACATGTGTATTAGAGCAAAGCTGATCCTTTGACTAAAGGAAAAGCATGGCACGCCTCTGAACACATGGCTTAAAGCTGACAAATGAAATGTGGCTGCAGTGTAAAGTCACCTTGAATTAAAGTATCTAAGGGTCCAAATCGGTAAGTATCTATGACACCTGTGCAAACAAACTATTACAGCCTTTTGCAAGGTCATGCTCATGAATATGCAAATATAAACTGATTTATATATTTTCTGAAGAGAATGTGAGTCTATGCACAACTCACTGCTATTATGCTTAGGTGTTCTGGGTTGTTGCTATGCGGTTGCTCTTTAGAGTGGTTGTTAGAACATTGCTGTGGTGTTTATAGGTGTTTTTTAGGTGGTTACATAATTTATTTACATGCATGATTATAAAAAACAAAACAAAAACTTGAAAATATGTAGTAAATAACAGCAAAGTGTCTCCTTTTTCATAAAAAAAGAAACTAATAAAAAAAATGAGAAATGTCAAACTATTTAACAAAATAATGCAAAACATGCATGATTTTAAAATTAATAAATAAATAACATGCATATAAACATTTTTCATGTAGCTACTAAACAGTGATATTTTAGTATCACATTTTTTTGTTTTATTTTAGCAATTTTATGTATTTGTCATTTTTATTAGTTTTTAATTTGTCTATGTGCTTTGTATTCTTTTTTTAGTTTTAGTTTCAGGTATTTTCATGTAGCTACTAAACAGTGATATTTTAGTATCACATATTTTTTTGTTTTATTTTAGCAATTTTATGTATTTGTCATTTTTATTAGTTTTTAATTTGTCTATGTGCTTTGTATTCTTTTTTTAGTTTTAGTTTCAGGTATTTTAGTACATCAGGTTAAATGTAAATGAGAAATGATGTCTTGGCAAATAGCAAGTTTTTTTTTAAATATAGTTTATTTCAGTTAAAGTTTACTTTATTTAAAATAATGATTTTTAGTTAACTAAAATAACCCTGCTTCATATGCATACTATGGTACTAAATAACAGTAATGCGTCTCCTATTTTCTTTAAATAAAAAAAATAAATAAAAAAAAAGAATTTAAAACTCTGAAGACTGCCAAACAAAAATGCAACCCATTTCAAATGCATTGCCGCCTCTCAGTTCCTTCACCTGTAACATTTAAACTCCACTTGACTAAAATCCTCTCCACAGCTTGAGTTTGCCACTTTGAGGTTTTGTTCAGAGAGCAATTTGCTTTCTCCGCCAGACTGCAATGTCATGCCAGGATAGGTCGAGCTTTTTCTAATACTGAGAGGATCTCCCACTTGATCTCTTCAATCTCACTTCAATTTCCAGCTCTTCTCTCCGCCGTATCCTCCACTGCCTGAGGCTCTTCACAGAGGGTTTTACTCTAAACTAGTTTCTTATGCAGTGACAGAAAGTTCTCTCTGTGTGAGCCTGTTTTAAATGCTGCACACTTATTAGTGGAGAGAGCTGAAAGACACCATAAACCCCCTGCCAAATCAGCCACACCAACACTGGAAGCCCCCTGGATTTACAGCAAAAGAATCGTGAAGCACATATAATGCGCTTTAGAATGTGATGCAAAATGATATTGGCATGGCAAGCAGTGGGTGACATCACCATGAGGTATTAAACGTCTTTACTTTATCATTCATGGCTTTCAGACTGAAATTGTTCACACGTAAAAGGATATTCACCCAAAAATGAAAATCCTGCCTTCATTTACATGTTTTTTAAAGTCCCTTATGCTCACCAAAGCTGCATTTATTTGATCAAAAATCCAAAATAATATTGTGAAATATTATTACAATTTAAAATAAATTTTTAAGTTTTAATATATTTTAAAATATCTGTGATGCAAAGCTGAATTTTCAGCAGCCATTATTCCAGTCTTCAGTGTCACATGATCATTCAGAAATCATTCTGATATGCTGATTTGATGCTCAAGAAACATTTCTTATTATTATCAGTGTTGAAAAAAGTTGTGCTGCTTAATGTATTCATGAGAACCGTGATACGTTTTTCAGGATTCTTTAAAGAATAGAAATTTCAAAAGCACTTATTTGAAACAGAATTCCTCTGTAACAATGTTTTTACTGTCACTTTTGTCAATTTAATGCATTGATACAATTTTAAAAAGAATTTTGAACAGTAGGTAAGCCATTGGATTTATGATTTTCTGCCTGGCGACAATGAAACTGGTGAAAAATCCCACAGGCTTACACTGAAGGAGGGACCTGAGCCATTTCTAGGGATTGAAATATTATGGAGACTTATTGATGGGCTTTTGTTTAAAGTAACCAACCACCTAGCAGCAACATGCTAAAAAGCACCTTAGCAACAGCATAGCAACACCCTGGCAATCATGGCAGCACATTTTGCACAAGCAAACACCAGTCATTTTCTTCACTCAGTGTCTTTTATTATTGTAATGCTGTCACTATGTTTTATAAAAGCAACAAGCTGCCAAGGGTTAAGTGGTGCTGTAAGATAAAACCCCCAATAAAATACACCTCTTGTTGCCTACTCTAAAGCACTTCTCATAGTGACACTGTTTCGTAGACACACATTCTCACCCAGTCGTTCATCAGTGTCATGCTCTGTGTATCTGAGTAAGTGGCATTTGCTCTTGCTTCTGCTCTGTGGCTGGGCACACGGTAATGAAGAGCAGACACATCCTGACAGGCTTCATTGGACTCAGGACAAGCTGCTGCAGGCATGAATAATACCATTCACACCAGATCACATTAGCTTGCTCTGCTGGAATATCCGAGCGCATGGAATCGCTATCCGTGAATGCCATCGCATTCATTTGCCAGTGCCATCTTCATGCGACGCTCATCCCCGCTAATTGCTTCCAAGCTTTAGTCTTATGATGAGGTTTAAATGAGCTCGGTCTGCAGCAAAAATTCTATGCATGTTGAGTCGTTCCAAAATGAGCCTTTTAGCAGACGCTTTGCCTTTTGTAATCCTGCCTAACCCCCCCCCCCCCCCCCCCCCCCCCCCCCGCCCCCCCCCCC